ATGGACTAACTTCTTATGTATTTTTAGCTTCTTAGAATACTCTTAGCTTAGTAATTTGATTATAGATGTTCTTGTGATGATGACTTCCAGATTTTGGGGAATAATAAATGTTGAAATAATAATAGTTATTGATTTTATTAATGAGTTTAAGTCTTCCGCATTATATTATGTTGATATTATATTGAAATGTTAAGGTTTAGATGGGTTGGTTCGCTCACATAGGAGGGTAAGTGTGGGTGTCAGTCGCGGTCCGGATTTGGGTCGTGACACCGCCGCACATCAGTTGTATAAGGATAGAAACAATAAAAAAAATTATTTTTATTTAATTTAATTTTTGTTACCCTAACTGTATACCTAACTAATTATAAATGTAGTAAAAGTGACCCACTATTAATTTTAATGTTAGTTTCTATAACCACCAACTAAATAAATTATTAAAACTACCCCACTAATTTTATAATATAATTATAAATAATCTAAAATATCTATTTAAAATATATCGAAAAGTATTTTGATGAAATAAAAAGTTCTAATACTCAAAACGATCAAAAGAACATTACAATAATAAACCTCAAAACATACTCATATCTCTAATCAAATCTCAAATCTTGATATAATTTATATGTCAAAATTATCAAATTGTCAAATTTTAAGTTAAGAGTTGAAGCTTAATCTCTCCAAATATCTTGTAATTCAATATCATATATTATGCACCTAATAATTAATTTTCTATCTCCATATATCAAAAATTAGTATTTTAATTTGATAAATAAATAAATTAACAACGTACTCACAATTTTACGAAACCAGAGAGAAACTACGACTTCCCCTTCTTTTTAATTTATTTGTGAAATGCCTAAAGTAAAGTACACCTATCAAATGGCAATCATTGACATTATTGCACAATGATTGGCTAAACCATTCTAATACACCAAAATAAACAATGAAATTGCAGACCAAAATCCTAGCACCTTATTAATTTCTCCTACCGGCTCTATTCCAATTCCAGGTTCCAAACCACGAAGGAACAAAATTACATCAATTCCTCCTACCGTCTCTATTCAAATTAAATAAATATTTTATACCCTGTCTAATGATAACGAATCACCGAAGCCTTTATGTTGCTTATATATTAAAAGATGATGTATAATTTGGAGATACCGTTTCTTATACCCAAGAACAAACATCAATTACATTCATACCTTATGATGAAATCTATATATATTTTTTACCCCACAATCTATACACTAAAACTAATAATACAGAAAGATCTTCCAACAAATAAAACTATAATTACCTGAACGAGTTTGGCTAGTCATTATCGAAACACTCGTCTTCAAATCATAAATTCTTATTTCGATTTATCTTCTTTTGTTTTCCCCTCAAACTCAGAGTATGAATAATACTACTCCCGTTCTTTTTTTTTCTTTTACCCTAACTACATGCATTTTAAAAGAGTAGTGGGTATAACCCACTTTTCTGATAATTCCCTTTTTATTAAAATTAATAGATAATTAATTTATATTCCCATTAATAATAATTTTTTTCTAAATCAACCACTATTTAAACTTTTACTAGAAAAGTTAAAATAGTCCTATTTTTTAAACGACCTAGCGGGTCGTTACACTCTCTTTCATATAAAAGTAATAAAAAATACTAAGTCTCAATCTCATCATCTTAGACACAAGAATTCTTTGAACACGACCCATACTTCTAAATACTAATATTGAAATACTTAGTCTATTTAAATACTTTGAATGAAAACATTAAAGACATATATGCCCTCCAGTCAAGTGAGGACATACTTCAACTTCTCCTAAAAGATCTTCTAAGTACAAGCCTTCACTTCTCAAATCTCCTCACCTACCAATAACTATATAGATAGATAAAAGCATGTAATTAGTACAACCACATTTACTAAGTGTGACATTATGAATAAAAATTATGAAAATGGACTTTTATTTGAAATATGCATCTTTTTATTTAAAAATCATATTATAATCGTAAGAACAACATTTAACAACTTAGAAACACATAAGATAACATTAATTCAAAAATCACAATTTAAGGAGACACTTTCTAGTGAGTCCAATTCACTGTACAATGAATAAATTCACTGTTACAGTGAGGTAGTTTACCTTTCATTTTATGTCTTTCTAGCATGTAGTTTCCTCACTAGAAGCTATCTTAAGACTCACTTAAGCAACACAAAGAGAGACCACCAATACAACCTCCCTCAGCATACCTAAGTGACCCTCAATAACACCCATAATAAGTCACATGCACACGTCAAGACATCAAGCATATCAACATATAGGTAATATGACATTCAAGGTAAGAGCTAATGTTGATAAATAAAGGGATTGGGTTACACAGTTCAATTAAAAGTTCATGTTTTTCTTGGTGATTTTAGGTTTGTGGTAGTGTGTATTGTCAAGGTATGAATTGGTAAAGTATGAAAGGAGCGATCACATTATGTATAAAGCATTTGGAAGGACTTAAAAGCTAAGTAGTAAAGTTGGTTACTTTTGATTGCTACACCTAAGAGGGATATCATATAATGTTAATTTTTTTTTGGATAAGGTAAGAATATCATAAGTTGATGGTCAAAAGGATAAGATTGGTGTCACGACCTAAAAGTGGACGTGATGACACTCGTCTTATCCCACTAAGACAAGTCAGCCTAAAACTCAATCATTACAATAAAATTGAGAAATATATAAGTAACTTAATAAAACCCTCAAAACCTGGTAGTACCGTGTACAAGCCTCTAAAGTATTACAATTGATTCAAAAGAAAAACTGAAGTCACAAATGAACTTGTTTCTAGAATAGAACAAGATCATAATTAACGAGAAGGAAATCTTCTTAAATGGAAAGAACTACCTCACAAATCTCCAAGAAGCCTCGGAAAAGAAGAGAATGACAAGTACAACAAAAATCCAGGCTCATAACCTACAAAAAATTGTAGAAGCAAGGGGTGAGTACCAAACCAGACGGTACTCAACAAGTAAACGTCTAAACATAAGCTAAGGGGATGAAATACAGGTACTCCTACAAACGCCAACCGAACCTCACAACTACAACTTGCATTTAAATCAACCTAACCTAACAGCTCACAGCTTACATAGCACGTAGCTCAACAACAACACTTACACAAATAATATATCCTCAACAACAACACTTCAACAAATTACAAATCCTCAATAATAATACTTCAACAAATTATATGTCAGCAATAACAAGCTCAATATTGATTAATCACAAGTTCCACATAACGACAATCATAAGATCAGCAAAGTACGATATCAAGTTCACTAATGATAAGTATGTGCAATGCCATGGTATGCAATGTCAAGTTTAATGATGCATGTCTGAGCTAGTGATACACACCCGCTGTCTCTCAGTCCGGGACCCATGGGGGATATATCTTTCTATGCATCTGTCGTGGAGCATGATACGATCCTTGACACTAGTAACCATCGCAGCGCGCGATACATCCCTTGAAATATTGTATCCATCGCGGGGCGCGATATGTTCCTTAAAATGGTACATCCTCTTAAGTACTCATTCTTTATCAATACACATAACACTTGTCACAACCAATGCCTCAGAATAATGCAGATGACAATTTCACACAAATAATGAGGAGATGACCATTATTATAACATCGCACATTTCACAAGCACACACATATGAAGTCACATCAACAATGATTCAACAAGCCTTCAACCCTTTTTCAACACATCACACATAAACAATTAATCACATTGCCTTTTGTTATCCCTTTTTTTTTATCATTTGAATTTATCAATGTGGACAAATCAACCCATCACCAATCCCGTTACTCCAAAACATATACCACAAGAAAATACACGCATTTTCATACACTTAACAATAGTTTAGAAATCCACTTGCCTCTATCTGTCAAGAATTCACTCCGAAACTTGAACCTTCTCGTTTTCTTGAACTCCAAACTCAAAGCAATCTATTCACATTAATAATTGCAAAAAGATTTTGAACTAACAACACTCATATTACCATAGGTATAGCTTAGACCTAAAACTTATCTGAATTTATAATCCAACTCCTAATTTTTATGCCAATTAACATTTCAATTATCATTTTTGCTAAGTTTCAAACCTAAGGTTAAATTTCAATTTCAATAAATAATACCATCCTAATAATTTTTATATAATATAATAGACTTAATAATTAATTACCTATCTCATTATATCAAAACATAGAATTATCATGTTATAGTAAAAATTATAAAGAAAAGAGACAAACCCGAGTAGTGACAGAAAGCCATTTGATGTAAATTTTTCCTTACCACTAATCCACGCCACATGCTAATTGGCTAACTAAATAATACATTACATTATACCACTAAAAACTATATTATATTATTTAAATGACTAACCTTGAACATTTATCCCCAATTCAATTCCCTTTTGCTTTCTCTTCAACGCCCAACAATACTAATGACAACTCTTTTGTATTTTTCATAAACATTCAACCAACAACACACAAACAAATTATACTAATTAGATCAAATAACACTTACTTGATTTCTTCGAGGTTTTCCATTTTTGTTTTTATCAGCCACAAGTATTCTTCTTCTTGTTCTTCTTTTATCTCTTATATTCTTTTCTAAATTAATTAGGTATTGAAAGTGACAAATTCCATTATGTTATGTTTATTTATTTGGGTCAAATAGTATAGGGTCATAAATTAAATTATGGATTTAGTGAATAACCCATCAATTAATTTTTTTAATTATTTAAAATTAACCATCAACTAAATAATTAAAATCAACAAATAGCTCAAATATTTCCAAAAATAATTTTCTGGGTCATTACATTATCCACCAATAAAAACCATGTTCCTCCCCGAACATAAGAAAGAAGAAGGATGAATAACTGCATTATCAAAAGTTCTAAGTCATGGACTACTAATCGTTCTTCATCTCTCAAAGTGAAATCCAACTTAAGATCATTCAATCAACATCAACTACTAAGAATTGATTTTCTTATTCAAACTTTAAAATGTCTACTAATTAAGTGATTATTAAGCCACAGAGTAACCCATGAACTCAACCTTAAGTGAAACCCATTAGACCATATCACATCAATCATGATGAGTCTTTTCTTGCACAACCAAGATTACATTCTGAATCGAGAATGGCTCAAACCAAAAGTGAACTTTAACCAACCATCACAAATCATATCAAGATTTTCTTTTCACAACACAATCTTTCCACAAATTTAAGTTGTATAATTCTTGTCTTTAGACATCGGGTACCCATCAAGGGAGAATCAAACATATAAAATACAAAGAAGTATAAGATCTAGTAAACACTCAACAAGTGGTAACTATTCATGGAAGCTCTTCTATATGTTCTTATAAGCAAGGTCGTACATGTATATACATAGTGGTATATCTATACTTTTCCAACAAACCACTAAATATGCCACAACTGAAGTAACCAAATCTACCTAAGCATTCTACACATCAAAAGGACATCACAAGATTGGTATATCCAATCCACCACTAGGATTTCACCCACTGATCTAAAAGCACGTGTGTCATAGGTAGTGAATTATACTCTAAATCATGTCTAGAACGATGTAGGTTGTCACATAGTAACTTACAGTACCAAATTTGAATAACACAAGATACTCCTTCTATAATGCCCAGATCGAACATTTTAATTCATCTATCTCCCTCTCCTTAATTTTTGGTCACCCACAATTAACTAGTGTAGTCCCCATTATATTTGTACAAATACTCAATTCATCAAACCTCACATATTTCTCAAAGTTTTCCACATATAACAATATTCTTAATACTAACAGAACATCATCATCCCAACAGTGATTTAACTTACTCTCAATCGGCACTAGATCTAACGTCTTCTTAGTAGACATATTATGCTTCCAAAATTATCAAACTATGGCACTTTCTCTTTCTAAATAAGCATTTTATGACAAATATGGGTCACACTCAAGACGGATAACACTAATTTCATATCTACAAAAATACTTTTTCATCGATATAACAATATTGAATCACACACAATGTAAATTTCACGTACTTCTCAAAAATAAAATTTCCACTAATATTTAAAACTTAAGAAATTCATAGTCACTCTTATAATTATAATACCAACACTTACGAAATTCAGGGTCACTCAAATAATACGAATACCATAAGCTCATAACATCTACTCATCATCAAATGCCTATGTAACACATCATAACAATCAATATCGTCCCATCAACAAAGTAGTGTTGATCCTCTCAAATCCTTATTAATCATGTAAAAATGTAGGTCCACAACTTTGAACATTATAAGTTTCCTATTATTGTTTGAACAATTAGCTCAACATGACCACATATATAGAATATTTCAGACATAGTTGCTTGCCACCCAATCAAAACTCAATCTC